CGGAATAGGCGAACGTGCATCGTATAAAAATTAATGAAGTCTGTTCAAATTGCTTCACACAAGACAACACAGATCATCAACTAAAATCACCCGGAAATATAAGAATCAACGACGTGGTTCGGTACGACCGAGCGACGATCAGTCTAGCTACGTGCAATTGGATGATCTCAATCTGTGATTGGGTGGTGACCACTATGCAGAATGATTCAATGGAATCGATCCACAGTTGGCTTCTTTTTATTTACCCTCTTGGCTGTATTCATGTCGACTTGGGGTGAAACATCGGCACATTACTTCTTTATCAACACACTCACATTAGGGAAGCTTGTTCAATACATTGTAGAGTGGAGTTGCAAGTGCGCACTCTCTCTCGTCACACATTATCGATTTCGACTGGTTCTTACAAGTACAATGGCAAGCAAAGTGCCGCCTTCACCAATTCATGTAGTAATCTAGCCTGTGATACTTATTGTTTCGAGCTCAGAACAGAAATGGTAAGATTTGTAAGTGAGCTATTGCTCCGAATGGTTTTTATAAACATTCTGGAAACGAAGCATTATGCACAACCTTCAAATTAGAACCTGCTGCTCCACGGGGTGTAGCTGAACATTCAGGTTGTTCTCCTAGGGTATCGTTCTGGTTCATTCGCTGAAACTCACCAAGATAGTTTTGCTTTTGGAAACCGGTATAGGTGCTAAATTACATCTTGTCTGATGATCCGCTACTGCTTGGTATCCATCGATTAAGTCACATGACGTCATCGGAAGTGCACAAATGGCAACTTCATCAAACAGCCCACCCTCGAATGTAATGCTCATACTGTGATTCAGGTTTCGTATCATAAAATTTGGTTAGCACTGTTAGCACTTGCAACTGGTTTGTGATTTATTGGATGAAGGAATTTGGCAAGTTGTTAGGAGTCAATCTACGCCTGCTCTCGATCGAGAACGTCATGGTGATTCTCAGGTACACAGATTCGGCTCGTCTTACTCCAGTTAGCGCTTCCCAGAGTTATTACTATGTGCTTTCCACTGTTTACTCCAACCGGAAAGCTCTTTTCTATGTGTACCTTACTCAAATACCCAAATGAGTCGACAAACTTTACAACCAGCCTCTCTTGGACACAGTTTGTACATCTATTCTTAGTAGGTTTCAAATCACGGTTTTTCAGCTGTTCTCAGTTAGCTAGCTGTTATAATTCATCGACTCGAAAATAATCCCAGTTATTGACTTTTAGTTAAAATATTCCCACCATGAGAAGGCAGCTATTTTTATACATCCCACGTCAGATACTATAATAAACACAATCCTAGAGAACGCTTGTCTGAACAAGACAGGGAACCCGTTTACCCCGTGCACTTCATTGACTAACTTTGAATGAGCTTACCATATCATCATATGACCTGAATTCATCCTTGCCATTCAGAGCGTTCACTCCCTATTCCTGAAAAGAGCATTATACTGTCTCCCTTTTAAGCAGTGTGCACCAAATCTGCCTATTGAAGACAACAAACAGGAAAGTTAAACGGTTGCGGCTTAGATTTACTTGCAATTAATTACGGTACTGATTTCTTCCTAATAACTATGATCGAAGTTGGAATTGCAATTTGAATCCAAGCACGGACGCCGTCTACGCCCATACACAGTGGACGCTTTATCAGCTGAGATACCATGGAACAAAAGTAGCACTGATCTTCTCACACTTTGTTTAGTCAAAACAACACAATTTGAGCAATGAACTCCGTCGAATAATTGATTCGATTCATTTTAAGGAAAACGTTTTCAAGACAGGCAGTTTACACGTTAGTTGGTGGATTAAATACGCATTTGTAAGTTGACTGGGTGAACCAAATATGAAAAGATAAGTGATATCGATGTGACTTGGCACCTCATCTGGTAGAGTGTGCGGTGTACAAACGCATAAGCGGGACTCCTGTAAGCGTTCAAATGTGAAGGAGGCTGATAAACTTTTTAGAACGCTAGCATAAAACTATCATCTTCTATTATCGGTCCGAACACGAAGTCATTACCAAAATGTTCGGAGGACTAGGGTCTACCGGAATTAGAACATTCAGGTGGCAACCCCCTCTCCTTTCGCACACACGACACTTGATTAGGAGTTGACTTCCATGTTGAAATTTTTCCCAGTCACACAGAACAGAACAGAACTTTTACTGGTAAAAGAGATAACCATATTGATCACAAATATTGGCTGAAAATGGGCAAGTTTGATCTTTGTGCATATCACAGATACACCTAATGATCTTTCGGAATGCACAAAAAGTATGATAATTCACGTGATATAATCAGTGACCAATAAGCCGTAGCGAAGTGTTGATAAGTGTCCTCGAATGGAACAACTGCTGGAACAGAAAATCACATGGATTGTGGAGTTGTCAGACAATACGGATCATAATGAGCCACAGTAAAAAAAATCAGTGTAAAAACTGTACAACGAAAGAAAAGAAATCAGAAACAAGAACGGACGTGCTGTTCCGTTCTCCTCAAATGGGGACATTTACTAATACACAACATTTCGGGACCGCTGTTGTGTGGTGCACTTCTCGAACTGGGATTTTGCTCCAATCAACCACTGACGGTATTCTTCAATTCGACGATCCGTATTGCTCGCCTGGGACAGGCGTGGTTCTCTGGGTGTTGAACTACTCCGAGTTCTATCGGTGATCTTCTGCCAATCAATGGGATATCGCCGACCCGGAGAAACGACTCGTGATACCTCCCGTGCTGGACTAGGTCGACTTGCTTCGGGTTCGATAATCTTATTCGGCGACGAAACGTGACCATCGTTCTGTGCACACAATTGAATCACTTCGCCCAGATCCGTCTCGAGCTGTTCTAACGAGGCCAAAATTGTTTGAATCTTGGAGGAGTTCTGGTCTGTTACTACCTCATTCAAACGGTTGGATGGCAGATAAAAGTTTTCGGGATGCTGTGTAGCAAGGTGGGATTCAACAGAATGCGCACGCTGCAGCGGTTCCTGTGGATAGTAGGTGGATGAACATGACAAATCACCCTGTGATTTTGTGTCCGTGTGCACACGTAAAAATCCAGACTTGGTGGTCTCCGCGTTCGAGATAGGAAGTGCACCATTCACCAGAGATAGTCGTCGTTTCCGTCGATCGACCACCTCGAATGGACGACGAGATCGAGTCGTACCGTTGTTCATTTTGGCCACGGCACTTTGTATTTCGTCGGTCTGTCGCAAACCCATGAATTCGTCATAGGTCGGAGAACGAATGCAATTCTCTTGTGAATAGGAACGTACCAGATTGGAGAGATCATTCAGAGTTTTGGGAGTTGAACCGGACCGCCGTGGTGGCCTACTCATACGACGACTGGATTTAGTACTGGGACTCCGAGCAGAATCAGCACTGCACTGTTGCGCGTGGTTAGATGGGCTTGTTGACTGGTAATAATTCACTGGATTACCCGACACTCCGTTTGTCCGGTGCGCATCATCCGATTGTGTTTGGCAATGTGATCGATACAAATCCTGACTGAGAGCATTCAGTTGATTTTGAAAATCGAGCAACTTTTGCAACAGTCGTGCTTCACTCTGTCCGACTGGATTGGCATCGAACTTGGACTGAGTTAGGGTTTTCCTGTTGAGAATACTCAATGTGCTGGTGGACTCGGAAGAAGCATCGTCAGAGCACCCTAGACCGGAGGATAGTCTCACCGTTTCTAGTTGTTTTCGCGTAGATCTTCCGAAATCCAGTTGAAAATGAACACTTTGATGGTTGGGACGTTTTTGAACGACCCCAGTCGTCGGAGGACTGAAATGGTTGATCAAAGGAGTAACGAGATTAGCTCGTGCGTGCGGGTCCGAGTCGATCCCGTTCAATCTATCCGGAGTTGCGTTCTGAGACACGTTCGGCATATACGGTGGGATTTCATCGCTAGAATCGTCTGAGACGACCGATTTAGGACGAATACAGATTTGAACATTTGCTTCCTCTTCAAGATCACACGAGCGCGAAGAAGCACCAGTGGACGAGGAATGTGAGCTCGCCACGCGACCGGATGTGTGATTCACTGAACCGTTGAAGCTGGATGGGAGTACTGTGGAATTTGGACCATTCGAGTGTGCGAAATTGTCGACCGACTGGGACGGAACGAAACTGGACTCAGCTGTGGGACGATATGGCATATTTAAATGCGATCGAATCATATTGGGTTTCCCAGTGGAAGGATGCCCGAATAAGTCTTGTCTAGTTCCTGACTGATGACCAAGCGTCTTTGAATCGTACATGATGGTATTGATCAGATTCCCGTTTTGGTTGCCCATGGACGAGAAACTAACGGCGGGTTGTGAATAAGTGGACCACGGTGGGTATTCAGTGGAAAACTGTCTGGAAGACAGAGCAGGAGAAAGATCACGCAATTTCTGACGTTTGGCTCGTTCAGTTGCAACCACTTGACGATAGTGTACATCACACGGATGATCCCAGATCGAAAGTCCTGTGGTGAAATTGAAATAATAAATATCTCCATTCACATCCTGGCAAGGTTTCCAGTCTGCTGGTAACGGGGCATTTAATCCTTCGTAAGCAAGATACAACAAATCCGGTTCTCGAATCGGATCGATTCCAATCACCTGAGCATATTGGATGAGATCCTCTTGGCTCGGTTGATAGGTTGGATCAAACTGTTCGTCTAAAACAAGCTGACCATTTTCGAATACCGTCATTATCGGACCTGTGGAGGACAGACAAAAAAATGGGCTAAGCGGATTGCATGCGTCTGAGATAAAAGCAAAAATCAATAGCAGGATGTTTGTGTAAACAGTTGTGGTTTTAAGGTGTGAAACAGCGGAAATTTTTCCGTTTGATCGTTCAAATTCAAGTACACAATCCGGATATTCATACGAGTACCTCGACACATACTCACTCTAGCAATGCCGCTGTGTAAGCCAGTCAGATGCAAAAAGAGTATCGGAAGTATTGAAAAACTGATTTTTTCTTACAAAGGTAGATTTTACAAAATCTCGGTGAGAAAAAACGAAGTTTTGAGGTCTTATTCCGGACCTCATCTAAAGGACGTATGATCCGATGAACTGAACATCGGTCCCCAATGAATAGCAGTCTTCACACACCGCCCCACTGCCTGCTTATGCTAGCCAAAGGCTTGGGTAGTGAGTTCCCCGGGAAAATTCACTCGCCTTGGGGCTGACAACCTAGGATAATCGCACCCATAAGCAAATCGTGGAACCTATTTTTTTTTACAATGATTATTTTATTGCGATCTGCTTGGCACAGAGTCTGGACTCCGAGGTGTTGTATAAATACATACATATATAAAGTAGCACTAGGCATGCGATGAATTACCATCGACGGATACCGAACGCATCACGTTTGCGTAACCAGGCAAGCGCACACTTCGTTTTACACAACCATTAGCAATGCATCAGGAATGCTGCATGTTGAGCCTTTGCTAGACATTTGACTACATTGGCTGACAGCACGGACAGAACAGACGCGAGTGAAACAATGAGTAATACGGCTATGAACAGTAGCGCTTGTGCATGTCTGCAGCCCTGGTCTTCATGAATTTCCTATTGTCACATTGATATTGATTTGGACAATCCAATTTTCCTCATCGCTCCTTCATCCAAACGGGCAGTCATTCATAAGACAGCAACCGAAAACATCACCCGATATTGTGTGGTTAAAGATCGTAAGAACTGAACTGGACTGAAGGAGGGAAACTGAAGCGAGTAAAAGGAAAGCAAACTGCTGTAAAAGAGAAATGAAGTCTACTTCATTGTATTCGGTTGTAGGACGCCGACACAAGCAGCAGTAACCCATAACACACAGGGATAATGGAATGGGTCGACCAAATGAACCGAAACTAATTTACAAGAAAACGAATTTCTAAAGTTCAGAGTTAGCAAGATGACCTTATCAGTTTTGATGGAACAAATGCCCCCGATATCATTTATTCACCCGGGTGAAATTAGCTTAACCAATGGGATAGCCTAATTTTCTCAACGAGAGTTTAGATAGTTTGACAAATACAGCCGGTTTTCAATCCAGATCGAACGGTCAATCTAGGGCAAATTTTGCTCCACACACACACACACACACACACACACACATTTGCCCAATCGACTTTGATTGAAAAGCGGTTGAATAGCACTCGTAAATCTACGTCACACGCGCTCCCTGTTGCACTGACCATCGTGGATTCTTTGCTTTCCACAGACACATGTAGGCGAGTGCACAACAGGGTGGCATTGCTAATCCGGTAGGAAGTAGTCAAATATAGACTATGGGTACAACTTGGTGAGCTTACGTGTGATAGACACATTCCGTATTTGATAAAAATCTGCCGATCAAATAAATATCTCGCTCTGATTTGCATGGTGCTTTTTTTCTTCTTCAAGTTCAGTTTAAACAAAAATCCTGTAGAGTACACATTAGAAATTCATGTGAAACATGTGTCTCGTCGTTCGGATCGTTTCTATCCGAACCAGAGCACAAAACAGAACATGCCAAGTCCCTATTCAGGTTTCTCACTTCTGCCAAATCACATAAACAGACAAACTGCGGAAAGTGTGCAAAGCACAAAGAAAAACAACCAATAAGGTGCCATCCAGACAAAAAAACCATACCGATTAACTCTGTCTGTCACTAAACAACAGAAATTATCTTGGTACTTCAGGCCATTAGACCAGCTCATTCAACGCTAGGTGGATTAGCAGCTCGTGAAATTTCACATATACAATACGAGGTTTTGATTGACCCGTTTCGATAAACTAAACAATGAGTAATGCATAGCATCGAAACAGCTGATCGCTCGCTCTCATCAGCTGTTGACCAAAGACGTCGCTGTTTCTTTATTGGTGTCAGAGATCAGTCACCCTTAATGTTCTGGTCAACCCAGCTGAATGATCTGTTTGCCGTCATAAGGGGAATGAGATTGGTTCTCTCGAGGCGGTAATAACCAACCTTGAGAATTATTCTATCAATCGGTCAATGTACAACATAATATTAGATTTTTATCAAAAATATACACGCGAATAAAAGGAATGAATTACATATCCGAGGTTAAGTGAATGCAAAGGTGGTCACTAGAATTCAGAAGGGATTCAAGAAATTGTCAAATCGGGGTGCAAGTCTATGGATTTAGACGTATCTTTTCCACTTTCAGACTGCTGTATCTACAACTAACGCGGATTCTTAAGAACAGATAAATTAACCCCTTTCTTGGGACATTGTGTTTCACCTAACCACTTCACGTAAAGGGAGAGATGTAGTGGTTCTAATATTGGAAAGGAACGGAAGGTTTGAAAAAATGTGGGTCACATAAGAGGGGGAAAACGAAGAATATCAAGTGAATTCAAGGACAACTTGGTATTCCTGAGTGAACATGTACGAAAGAGGGCATACCTTGTCGGTTAGTAATGGGGTGCGGTCATTATCTTACGTTTTATTTGTATATGACTATCTCGTGAGTTCGCAAGTCGGATCTCTCTGATTGCAGAGTTATACCTGTTGTGATTTGACTGGTAAACTGAAGAAAGAGCTAGATCAAAACATTCGATTCGACTGAGCTAACCCGCATTCTCAGCTGGTCACATTTGCAATTCAGACAAATTGCAATCTTCTTCTGGTAAATTCTGTTTCTGGTCCGTAAAATACACGACCGAACTAGTAAGGAAAGTTACTATCTACAGGTAGTGAATGTAGCTAGGCGAGTAGTGACTGCAAACCGATCAATTATTGACACGTATGATCACAAGTGATGATACAAAAATTTGGGCATGTTTCCAATTTCATGCAATCAGCTCGTTTTATTATTTTCACGAGAGCAAGAAGAAGCATCATGATCACAGGATGTGTTGAATTCAACTATGTCGTGGTAATCTCATCAGCTATGTACATACATTCGGATCACGTTTGGTTAAAAAAGTGACAGGTTTGGGGACAGGCGAACACACACGGGGAAGAGAAGTTAATCAATACGAAGGCCAAAGGTCACTAATATGCACGAATCCGAATCTTCCTCCCATCTCCTGGATGTTCAGTTGAGGAAAAAAGAGAACGGATTTCTCATCAGATCCGTATTTCACAAGCCGACATGGACGGGACAGAATCTTAATTTTAGAAGTTTCTGTCTAATACAATACAATAGATCGTTAGTGCACAGTTTATTCTCTAGATAATCTGCTCCAGTGAAACGTTGGAGTTCGACGTTCGCTGCATATTCACGGCACTGCATTAAAATGGATACCCTAAAAAGTTTATTTCGAAGTATGGAGCGCCGTTGACTAAACTAGAACCAGGTGACACTGCCTCAAAAAAAAGCTGTTTTTGTCAACATACCGTTTTAAGGTGATCAAATGATAAGCGAATACAGCGTAGGTTGAAACAAGTGATTGAAAGAACGTATAATACTGCCTTCCTTATAATACTGCACGACACGAAGCGAATGCTCACTGAATCCAATCTAGGCAAACCCAACTCTTTAGTTATCTCCTCCTGTGTTTACCTATTTCAATGTACTTGCGGTAGCAAGTACGTCAGAAGAACTGAGAGACGATTGTCTACCAGGGTAGCAGAGCATGTACCGAAACAATTGGCGGATCGAAGCTTCCGTCCAGTTCAATCGCCCGAAATATACTGGATTGCGAAGAATGTGACAAACCTAGAGACGCCTTTCGCGTCTTAATCCGCCAGAAAGGTAGCCGTCTACTACGATTCGCTGAAGCGGTTGCCATTGGACGTTACAAACCCGATTTATGTAAACAGACAGAATTTGTGGCTAGCCTCGCGCTGCCTTGGTAGTTGTCACTGTCCCCCTCCCTCCACCCTGCAGTGATTCCGCTCCCCGCCCCTATGCCTAATCCGGTTCATATTAGTGACCTTTGGCCTTCGTATTGATTAACTTCTCTTCCCCGTATGTGTTCGCCTGTCCCCAAACCTGTCACTTTTTTAACCAAACGTGATCCGAATGTATGTACATAGCTGATGAGATTATCACGAAACAGTTGAACTGAACGCATCCTGTGACCGTGATGCTTCTTCTTGCTCTCATGAAAATGTTTCCAATTCTACATCACTATTCCTATTTGTATTGAAGCTTTAGCAAGCTATATGTAAGCATTCAGCTAAAAAGAGACCACCAATCACAATACTGGCTAAACTGGATAAAAGCGTGGCAAAAAGTCAATTAACCACTATATGCATTAGAAAGCTCAGAAGGAACACTCCCTGTCAGTCAGTGTCCGGACAGATAGTTTACCAAGGCGATTCTGTAGGCAGATATGCGAGATGGAATAAATCTGTCCTTGGAACGGGTGAAGGGATGGGATATACATGCACACAAGTCCACGTGTACAGAATGAATATCATCAGATAAAAATTTGTCAATCCCCTTCAAACGTACATCACAGATATTGTTTATCAGAACACCAACGGCACTCCTAGTGAAAAGACATTAGTCTATATGAGGCTATAGTGAATAATCTCTTATTGAGTCGATTGCTTGGAAGCGTGATATCAGCCTCCATGGTACAGCTTTGCTTCATGGACCACAATCCGGAACTGAAATAAAGACGCCTCGTAGGATCACTACCCAGTGTGGATTACCCGAAGAAACCAGCCAGTCACGAACAGGTGAGACAACCAAACCATTGTAAAATGAAACTGTACGAGAAGGGAGTACCCATGAAGTCATATGTGATCT